AGCTGAGATCATGTGAACAAGGTCTGCTGGTTTTCTACCAACTATAAGGCTGAGAGCTAAAGGTTTTGTTGAGCTTTTCTAAAAACTTATCTTGTTTTCTGCTCTACAGCTTAGTGATCTAGGTCTTGTTCAGCGCTTTATAGATTGTTTTATTTGCTTATATCGAGTTTATTAAAGTTCCAGTGAACAGAGTATATAATTCGATGACAGATGTTTGATATTCTTGACCCACATCTGTAAGCAAACAGCGTTTATTTCTGCTCAGCCTCTGCAGGGAAGTTCCAGCAGGACAAGCTGTTCACAGCAGAACAGCCCCGGTAGTCTTATTAACGTAATCTGGATTATCATCTCTTAGCATCTGGAGAGATAAGGAGAGAATAAACCGTCATGTCTCCATGCAGCAGCAGTAGACTCTTCCCATTCACCTGGATTACTACTCTACATTTTGATTAGGTCACTCTGTTATGCAGCTCCACAGTGACCCCTGGAGGCGTGTGCAGGGATCACACGTGTGCGTTTATTTGATCTCCTTACCTGATTTGCTGCAGGATTTCCTGCGGAGAATCCCTGGGAGTTTATTGGGCTGTGAGGTGTATGAGGAATGGATAGATGTGCTGGAGGAAGAGGAGGAGGAGGAAGAACAGGTCCAAGACATAAAGAGGTAAGAACTTCTCCGCTTTTTGGCAAGAATTCAAACGCACAGCTTGAAGGTTGTCGGTACTCTCTGCAGGATGATTCGTCGCCTGGCTAAAGAGAACGCGCTTCTGCTCCGCTACCTGTTAGCCATGCTGCATGCGGTCCAGGCCAACGCTCAGGAGAACCAGATGACCAGTTTCAATCTGTCAGTGTGCATCGCTCCCAGCTTGCTGTGGCCTCCTGGCGCCCCCTGCAGTCCCGAGGCGGAGGGAGAAGGAGCCAAAAAGGTTAAAATAATGCAATACGTTTTTTTGAGCTGCAGAAAAAAATATCTGGAGTTTGAGTTGGGATCTGCTGCTGTTATAGCTGTATCATCACAGCATTATGCTGCCACTACCATGCTTTGTGTTGGGGAGGTGAAGTATTAATTGTTGCATTGATTGTGCTCCAGGTGTAATCAGACCTCCTGCTTCCGTTTTTTGATTTGATTCCTCCTCCATACTTGTCCTAACTGCCAAAGCAGAATAAAACTGGGACTTTTTCTTTTCCTGCATTTGTTACACATCCCTCCTTCTCTCCATCCTTCCATGAAAACTAATTTTAAACCACTTAAAATAATTCTGCTTATCAAAAAGTGTTCTTGGAGCCTAGCTGGAGAACTAATGATTTTCTAAAAAAGAAGTATGGATTAATAGCCTAACGATGTGGAATGTGACCCAGATTTTACACGTGGCTCCTCCTGGTTTGACTCCGACATTTCAGATTGTTTTAAATAAATCGGATTCAGCAGCGTTACAGGAGCTGAATGAACACAATGCTGCTATTCTGTCTGAGGAGCTGGAATCTGCTGATCTTTGTTTTGTGAAACCTGCAGGTTAAAAACAAAACTTTTAATCATGTTAGCAAACACATCAACTCAGTGGAAAACCTAAAAGCCACATCAACCTTTGTTTTCGTAGATTATCCGGGTTTTTAAAGAG